GTTGCGTCGTGTTTCATTTTTAAATGTATAAACTTTGTTAACCATATATATATTTTTATCCTAATACGAATTCTTACCTTCATTCAATATTGTTTGTGCATATAACGTGTGTATTTCAAGCAGTTGATAAAGAGAGTGTAGGTTTATTATAGTTTAGTAAAATTAAGAGTTAAGTTTGAATTATTTTTGCTTATGAACTATTCTAAGCAATTAAAAGGTTTAAAATCATGTGGTATTGTCTTGTGATCATATTTCTTAAACCCCTTACAATAGTGGATATTCACTATGTTTAATATAGTATTATAGAAATATTTTCCCTACTTGAACGCAATTTGTGTACATTTATTTGGCAAGAGAGGTTATTTGGGGGGGGGACTATGACACTAAACCCTCTTATGATCTTAACATGCAAGTTTATTCCTCATATCTTATTGAGAGAGGTTTGTAAAAGAAATCTATAGAAACGCTAGTTTGGACTATCACTTTGTATATGCGCTCATTAATCTACATATTTTTCCTTCAATACCCAAAAACGACTATATTTTACTGATAGCAAAAAAGTGTACTCCATTATAATTCTGCCAAATGTACATTCCTCTTTCTGCGAGGGGAGGTAAGAATATGGAAAAATATTAATTGGACAAGTCAAAAATTAGACTAATTTTAAAGCTGATACGATACTCCATTTCGATTTCCTCAAACTCATGACTAGACATCGATATATCGATGTTTTAAGTCGATACACGTACAATATGTCTTAAATATTCACCGTCATATAATGCATTCATAAATGTAGATATATCGAATGATGCTGAATGAAGGAATTTAATTTCAACTATAAGAAATAATTACCAATTGGATTTATAGCATGCATGTAATATAGCGTCCTAGAACCAAAAAATATAGAAAAGAAAAAGTGGAAAGCTACTTTCTTTACAACAACAAGTGTGATGAGCATGTCTCGTTAGCCACATGAAACGATGTTTATTGGTTGCCATGACAACAATAATTAAACACTACAGCTACACGCGCAACTATGCCATCGCCCTTTGAAAACTGTTCAAAACACGGATAGTAATTACTATTTTACCAATCAAACGTTCAAAGTAATAAATGTATGTTGATTTCCCTTTAATGTTCAACTTTCATGGTAATAGAAATACAGTTTGTTAATTTTGCGAAGAGAAAAGTGTCCAATGTATTCCAATGATATTATTCTTTCAACAATCACATTTTTCAGCCATTGTTTTCAAATATTACACTTATTCAGTTGGAGTTTGCTTTTGGAATTGATGATTTATTTAAACGAACTTTTATTTTGTAGTCAGACATTAGTGTGAACCTGATTTCTTCGAGAGTCAAAATTGTTATCTAACTTTAGAACGGTATATAGATATGCAAGTCTTTTGTATTTAGCATAGTGGTTTGTATATTTTAATGATCATAACAAAATCGTTTGCGTATAGCAAAAATCCAAACACAGGCAAAAATAAAAAATACCCCCACCGCAGCAAACCTGCCGACTAAGCAAATTTCCGTCTGAATTGATTTTCAATTAAATATATTTTAATAACATACGGTTTAACGAGTACCTAGGTTTGCTGCTACAAGGAAACTAATAAAGTATGTTTTTTAGTAAAATATTGATAGCTTAGTACAAAATAAATTAATTTGCCAAGTTTGATCAAAATATATCCATAAACAAGCAAACTACAACATTTGACAATATTCTCCATAAGAATAACATGGGAATTTTAAATTTACAATTTTTGTTATTTTCTCCGTTAGGCTACTAATAATCGAACAAAAATACTTTAATTTACTAAATTATTTGTTTTTTTAAGCTCTTTAAAAAGGTCTAAAGAGAAATTTTGTGTTTTGAGGGTAAAAAATGAGAAAAACCTATGTTTACCCCATAAAACCCCCCGTAAAGCCCCGATCATGCTGGTTCGCGAACTCATTCAAGTTTATCCCGCTTTATACCTTTAAACCAAATTTCATCAACATCGGACAAAAATTACTCAAGTTATCGCGTTCACGGACGTATACATATATATACAAATTTGAACGAATGGTATTTTTGGCCTCTGGGGACATCAAAATGAAAAAGTAAATCGGTCCCGGGTCTAGGTCTTACCGTGCCACCTACGGTAATAGCTACTTCCCTATAGGGAAATTCGCTAAAAGAAGATTTTTTTGCTAGTATTTCTACTGTGAAATATGTTTGTCAGGACGGAAGAAAGAAATCTACAAGAATTTTACATCGTTGTGTGTAATCAATCAAAAGAATATATTCAGCAATCAGCTGTTATCAGCAATGTAGCAATATAGTCCAGGCCCCCCAGAGGCCTGACGGAATATTATGTGCTTGCAATCAGATAATAATGGGATGCGAGAGTTAACTCAGATGTTAGGTAAAATAAATTGGTAACCTCAAACAGTTTCTACAATGAGTTTCTATTCACGAAAAGCTTTTAGTAAAATCACAATAATAATTTTGCATCACTTGTCTAAATTTAAGTTTGGTATGGGCCTTATCTTTGACTCTTTGGGTTTAATTAGAATCCAATTAAAAACTTATAAACTTGAAATACACTTTCCAAAAGCATACTTACAACAAGATCAACTCGTGTGGAAAGCGTATAGTTTTTTTAAGATCTGCAACTTTGCAACATAAAACATTTTACAAAGTTTCTCAGTCTTTCTAACAAGGTGAAGTTTGATTGTTAGCAAGTGTAAAGTTGTGAAGTTTAAAATGTTGGTTTTGACGTTACTATTCTAGTTGTAAGGATGCAAACTCGTTCGTAGATCATTATCATTACTACCAATACAGAGGAAGAAGGTGTGTTTGTAGATGTAAATATGCAACTTAATATCTGTCTAATGTTGTTTATGGTGGTTCCAAAACAAATATCTTTAATCTAGTGAGTTATTTTTGTTATTATAGATGAGTGTTGCGACATATTCATTTAGTATTTTGAATAACTTCTTAATCAGGTTCATATTTGTTCATACTTTTTTCAGGTCTCATATTTTCCATTTTTCTCTATACTTATGTGCTCATGCCAAACTTTGCTTTTGATGTTGCAACTAATTATTACAATATTACTTTCTTATTGCAATCAACTAAAAATACCCCCGCCGCAGCGAACCTGCAGACTAAGCGAATTTCCATTTGCCTGATTGGATTTACACTAAAATGTCTCCTTAAAAATATCACATTTATTCCCTATTTAAATAACTTTAGTTTAACGAGTGGTAAAAAGGTGGTTTTTTGTAAAATGTAATAGTTTAGTATGAAATTAATACATTCTCCTAATTTGATCAAAATATGTTCATTAACAAGCAAACTACAACAGTTTACTTATTCTCCATAAGAATAACATGAGAATTTTAAATTTACAGATTTTTTGAATTTTCTCCGTAACCATTAGGCGCATATTAACGCTTCAATATACTAAATTATTTGTTTTTTTAAGCTCTACAAAATGGTTTGGAAAGAAATTGCTAAATTTTAAGTTTTTAGGGTCAAAAATGGGAAAACCCAATTTTTACCCCATAAACCCCTGTTCCCATAGTCCGATCATGCTGGTTCGCGAACTCGTTCGAATAAACGTAGGTTTACACGTTTGTACCAAATTTCATCAAAATTGGATGATTTTTGCTCGAGTTATTGCGCTAACGGACACATATATAAATATATTATATATATGAATTTGAGCGGATGGTGTTTTTGGTCTCTAGGGACCTCAAAACGAAAAAGTAAATCGGTCCCGGGTCCAGGTCTTACCATGAGTACTACGGTAATAGCTTATTCCCTATAGGGGAAATTCGCTAAAAAACGAATCCTTTATAAAATATTTTGCTTCTGAGAAACTCATTAACCAACTCAAACAACAAACAAGTATTCGAAGAATTTCCAACATCTTTATCAAACTGTATCGTTTAAGAATTCATCAAAGACAACAATTTCTTTGATTAAGTTCTGATATACTTTAAGAATTTATGAGATGCTTTGTAACATTAAACAAGATTTAGAAAGTTTGAAAAAGATACATAGGATATTTAAGTATTCTAAGAAATCTGCCACAAACTTGTGTATTAATTTTTTTATCTATGCTCTTCGCAATAGAATATAGTTATCACATTGTATAAAGATTGACAGAAGTACATGGTTCAAGTAGCATAGAAAGATCACATTTATCAGCTGTTACAAATTAAATGCCTAACAGCTGTCAATAGCTGATGGTTTTACCATGCTTTCTATAAATAGCCTGTCACGATTGGTCAAATAAACAGATAAGCACCTAACTTTCCACAAACTATGAAACACCTGTTTATACGTTTCAGAAATAATCTAACTATTTTTACCAGAGCTTTTAAAATTTAAACTAAACATTCCGATGGAAATCAATTTGTATAAATGGTACAGCCACACTCATAAACGATAAGTACGTGTAACTAAAATAAACCAACTGTAATAATAGAACAATAATACACACCCCCTAGCAAGTCAGAAACAGTACACAAGAAGATTTACAAAATATTCAACGCTGGTCTAGTTTTAAAATATTATTCCTTTATTTGCATCATCGGATCGTATTCCTAAAATAATGTAACTGATAAATCAAATTGGTCCAAACGGTATAATATAAAATTTTTAAAGGCAAAATAGTCGTTGATGTAATTATAAACCTCTACAGCTGAACTACTTCGATTAATTAACAGATGGACAATACAACACTAATATTGATAAAAATGAAAATAATATTTTATTTGTTTAAACAAACGAATTGTCGTGATTTAATAGGTTTTTAAGCTTTCCTCAAAAGTGCAGCAACGTTGAACTATTGTATTTATCACTGATTGATAATAATTGTTGTACGTATTTATTAATTTTGTGGTAATTTGAAGAGCTGTAAAATAGATTTAAGAGCGTTGTATGTTTACAATTAACCACAGGATGCTACAATGGAGTCTATTTAGTCAACAAAAGGACCCTCAGTGTAGGCTGTCGTATACTGACCAGCTGGTCACGTAAATGTAAGTAAATATTTTACTCTTAGTTTATATTAAACTTTTATGTCTAAGTACTTAAAATGTTCAAATGTCCACACAATCTGTTTATTTATCGAAAAAAAAATCATTAAAGTAAGCTAACGCTGTGTATATAGCGTTAATTGAAATAAAAGAAAGAAAATAACAGAGAAGATTTTTCTCTTTAATTGTCTGTAAACTTGTAATAGTATATTACGTTACTAGTCCTGAAAATAGGTGACGAATGTGGTCGTTTCTGTGCAAGTCGAAGTCGAGTGCGGGATTTCCCATACGAGTGCGGTAAACAAATTTTGGACGAATGACGTACGATATTTTACGCCACACTTAACAAATCAAATCTGTACAAATCCTTATATTCCCACCGACTAAAAGGCTAGCAATAAACTCATAACTTCTACGAGAGAATATGTTTTCGTTTATTCCCACTCATTGCCAAATATAATCAGCTGGTTGGTGTCCGAAACTTATTACAGTACCGAATGAAACCCCATTTGATTAAGCTGGTGGCAAACAGCTGTTCTCGGACTAAATCTTTGCGTGGGAAGTTCGTTAACACATTGTAGTGTGGCGTAAAAAAGGTTACATATGGTGTGTAGTGTTGCCTATGGAGAAAAAAATTCCGTAGGTAAACAATAGTATAAGAAAGTAATACTGGCTTAAGGTACCTTCCAAACACTTGGCATTTGCCAACTCTCGCATCACGAAAATTAATGATTAAAAGCTTAAGTACACAACTCGCTGTAAAACCCATGTGCGTGTACGATTGAATTTGAACGGATTGATTGTTTTTGGCTTCTTTTAGTGAAATCATAACGAAATTAAAGTGGCCCCGGGTTTAACTATTACTATGGGTATCTTGAATAAGAAATTCGCAAATCACTTATTCGAACTAAATTTTTATCTGTTGATCTTGTTAATTTCATATATGTATGTCCATTGATTAATCTTTTCTGCTATGGCTTATTGGCGAATATTAAATATCACATGTTTTCATATTGTTAATAATCAGTAAATAAACAGTTATGAAATGGTGTACTAAAAATAAACTGACTTTGATTTGGCTAGAATAATTGACAATTTAATAGAGCTACTACTAATACTATGCTAGTTTTGGTCCACCCTGGGGGTCCATTCCCAGTACCCGCCATGTCTGACGAGCCTTCCCCTATCCGCCACCTGGGGAGGCGCCCGATAGGAGACTAGCAACTCCACACGGGAAAAATATGGTGAGACGGGCGGAGTCATTTTGCCATGCAAACCGGTTATAATCAGTTTATAATTAAGTAAACATATGCACTAAGCACAAAGTAATGGAACTGTAAACCAAAATAGCTTTAATAACACCAAACTTCAAATCGTTTAAATTTTTTAAGGTGTGATGGGTATTCAAAAGCTTCGTAACTTGTTAGGGATGCTACATTAAGTTTAAAACTTCCAATAGCTTTGAATAATTAACATTTAAAAAAGCACACATGAGGTTTAAATTACTTCTTGCTCTCCAGAACATTGGCCCAAAAACTCCTCCCAAAAATCAAAAGACTCCGGTAATATAAATTTTGTGGTAATAACTACAATAAGAATCATAAGTAGGCCTAACTATTTAGTTATGCATCTTCGAAACAATCATCTCTAAAAATATTAGTCCAAAATGAAACTGTAATAATTTAGCCTGATACAGTATTTCTTTTGACTCCGGCCGTCTCTACTTAACTTAACCTTAAAGTAACGTTATGCCTATGAAGGTGAAGCTATAGAGATTAGCCATAACTAATAAATATCCTACTACGAATTTAATTTGTTAGATTCCAAAAATCATAAATCAACTACCGGTAATTTTGATATTATTTTGTTAATTGCAAGTGACAGTGCGGTAGCAATCTTTTCATTCGTATTTTATGAGTAGAATCCCTTGAAAACCCAAACAATGGTAAAATGCAAACCACTATGTTGTTTAAGAATTTTTACCAAATCTTAATTAGTTATAAATTAACTCTCAACTCGTTTAATACTGATTAAAATAACGTTTTAACTTGGAAACTGTATATTGTACTATGTAATGAAATATCTCCACAAACGCAGTTAGTTTTAATCTCTATAGGGTCACCTGTTTAAATCTATTTTAACTAAAAATTCAAATGAAGGCTCAGTATTAAAGCAACACAGTTATCTTTGATATTGTAAGACATAAAAATTAAAAATTAATTCAAGGCAATCTTAACAGGTAAAGTAACTATTAAGATTACCAAGCTAACTAATAAAACGATTAAGTTTTAAATATTGGTTTTGTGAAAATATAAACACAAATAAATAAACTAATGTAACTTTGAAAAGAAAAATACATGAATAAAATATCCTAACATAATAGTATATTACGTTACTAGTCCTGAAAATAAGTGTTTACCGGACGAGTGTGGTCGTTCCCGTGCGAGACGAAGTCGAGTACGGGATTACCATACGAGTCCGGTATACACATTTTGGACGAGTTACGTACGATAGTTTACGCCATACTACTAGATATGTACAAATTCTTATATATTACCACCAACTAAAGGACTAAAAATCACTTGTCATAACCTCTAAGAGAGGTTATTTTTTTGTTTATAACCATTCACTGCCACCTAAATACGGTATTTACTCAGGGGAGGTATAGAAGAGGCTACGATGACAGCTGAGGGCTTCTTATTAGCTGAGGGAACGCCATTAACGTAACAAAACTTTTGATAGCCATCGGGCCTCGGTGGTCTAATGGTTAGCGTGCCGGACTGATAAACTGTTGGTCCCGGGTTCGAATCCCGCTGGTAGCATTAACTTTTTGTCCAAGATTTTTTTTATTATCAGCAAGTTTGGTTGGTTTGGTTTGGTTATTACAGTTTAATTTTATAATTAAGTCATTATAAAATTTTAATTGAGCAATTTCTAGTTTTATTTAATAAACAGAATTATTTTTCCAACTACTAAACTCTTGTTATATTATTTCTTTATCAGCAAGTTTGGTTAGTTCGGTTGGGTTATGATAGTTTAATTTTATAATTAAAAAATAGTAAAATTGAATTTGAGGCATTTATAATTTTATTTTATGAGCAGAACTATTTTTGCGATTAGTAAACCTTCATTGCCAAAGTGCTCTCTACTACAGCGCTGTTCACGGAGGAATTTTGAACTAAATGCCTCATTTGTACCTCCCCTAAGTCAGACCCCCTAAATACAGTATAATCAGCTGATTGGTGTCCGGTAAAACTCATTGCAGTACAGTAGTACGCAATGAAACCCCATTTGAATAAGCTGGCGGCAAACAGCTGTTTTCTGGACTAAATCCTTGCGTGGGAAGTTCGTCAAAATAATGTAGTGTGGCGTAAACTACATTTACCACACGTAAAAAAATACCCAAAGACTACTGAGCCGTTCTTAGATAATTCTTGAACATTATTAACACTAACAACTATTACTAAGGCCACTACCAGCCTGTACTACTATTATACCAACTATTAAATGTAACTATTATACCAGCCTGTACAAATAATAACATAAATATGTAATAATTTTCTAACCCACCTTTTTTTTAGCGAATATGCAGCAGTTGTAATAAGTTTCATACCGTAGTTCAACTAAACTTTCCAACTTAAAACTATTTTCAAGTCGTTAACAGAAAAACTTCAAACCATTTTGAGGTTTATAAATACAAACTTACGATATCTGCACAACATATGTAAATTAAATTTCATTTCACCTTAACTAATTTCAAAGAATTTTAATAAATGTTGAAGGAGTCCAAATTAGTAAACATAATTTGTAAAATATATGTTGGCAGATATATTTCCTTGTACCCAGGCTAGATTAAAACCAATAAATCTAAGATTTAGAAAATTGACTACTTCCTACCTTTGGTTGGCTTCAGCTGAAATTTTACCGATATGATGTGAACAAAGGCATTAAGATAAATCAAATTTTCGAACAATTATTATCAATCATTAACAAAAACCATGAGATCTTTAATTACTTTGAGTTAATAATGTGTGTTCGTTTACTTGGTCACTATAATACAAGCTTTATTCCTTCTAGTGAAGGAAAAGTAAAATTAGTATACATTTATGCAATAAAATCAACTAACTTCAGAAAAACGTCCCTGCGAGGGCTTTACGGTTGTTGTTCACATCATTTCGGACTTTCATTAACCAGACATGACATACAAACAATGCAATAAAATATAAACACATATACCAAAATACATATAAAACATGAAGCATAGGTACTCATATACATTACAACAGTACATATTGCTAAAAACGACGTAGACACATAAGACATAATGTTTAACGACGTAAATTTAAAATTAACCGTTACGACGTCCGCGGTCATTAAACGAATTTCGATGGTTAAAATCCTTCAGCGTGGTATTAAGGGATGGACACGTTTGTAGGTCTTCTTCCAGTTGATTCTTTGGTTAACTGGCCAACACGTAAACTGTCAAAACTTTGTCCCCTTGGTTGAAATAGTAGCAAATTTGTCTTATAATGGGCGTCCGTTTGTATAAAGGTACTTCGAATCACCGGACTTTCGTTTCTTAAACCTACCCGAAGCCTGGATACAAGGAATGACTTAAGAGCTAAAACACTACAATAAACAAAAGCAAGTATCTTGAGGTGAGAAGATTCGTGATTTCATTGTGAAGTCTTGATTTTGTAACCGGCCTGCCTAACACTATACACCTAACCTATAAATTCACTTTTGGTTTCCTAGCAAAAATAAAATTTGATTTTAAATTCTAATAAATTGTTAAAGAGTCCTATGTACTTTTTGGGCAAAACTAGTCAATTTCTATCTATACATTAAGTTTTGTTAATGACCCCCTAATTTAATTTAAATTACATAAAAAATACATTCCTCTGGCCTAAATCAATTAACCCAACTGAACTAATTATTTGTGCACTTCAATTGGGGACTTATAGAGAAGTATAAATTAGGTGTAACAAATTTAAAGTTAAGTC